CATGTGAGTTCTACATGATCAGCTACCAGTTGGTAAATATATACCCCACTCTGCTTGTGAAGTTGCGCCATACACTCTATTTTCACTTTGTTGTTATACAGTTTTTCTTTGCACAATCCCCAAAGATCCTATCAGACACGCTGACCCTAGATACCTCGGCACCTTGGGAGACCCACTAGTGCCTACCTAAACTAACTGGCCCTCAGGTAACTGAAAGTGCATAAAAATAACAAAAAAAGTGCTACCCATAATAAGTGAACCACCCACATATGGTGAGGTACAAAACAAACAAAAAAAAAGATTATTTTTGGCATCTTAACACGCCGTTGTCATGGGCATAAGTGAGTAGCCCAGCAAGGGCTACTTCCTATAGAGCTGCTTAACTAATTAGCCACTTGAGGGTGCTCAATCAGCATGACTCAATAAGACAAACTCACAGTCAAGAGAATATAGTGGGTGGAGCATGGCACCTATGAGAAAACGTAAAGGGACACTATAGTCTTACTGTAGTTGTTCTGGTAAGTATAATCATTGGCCTCTAGACATTTTCAGAAAAAAGGTCAGTGTTTACATTGGCCCTAGGGACACCTCCAAGTGGCCACTCCTCAGATGGAGGTGCTTCCTGGGGCAGTGCTGCACAGTAGGCAGCACTGCCGTTCAGCGTCTCCATGCTGTGCATGGGACGCTGAATTTTCCTCATAGATATGCATTGATTTAATGCATCTCTGTGAGTAGCTGCTGATTGGAAAAAACAGTGTTTGGCCCCAGCCCCTGGCCGATTTAAGCCAATCTGATGCTTTCTTGATTGCAATTCTTATGTCACCAAGGGGCCGGGGCCAGCCCACCCACACGGTGCTGGAAATAAGGTGAGTTTTATTAACTTTTAAGGGGCCTAAAGATGGGGGCAAGCCACCTAAATGGTGGGTTTTGCACTATAGGGTTAGGAATACATGTTTGTGTTCCTGACCCTATAGTGTTCTTTTAATTTACTTACTCCTAATTTACCAGTACAAACCCGGCTTACGTCTGGGATGACCGTTTTTACTGATGTGTGTACGTCATATGATGTCAAATCATTCCTCACGCTGCAGTAAAAATAGGCAGTGTTTACATTAGAGTCCAGGAACACCTCTAGTGGTCACTCCTCAGACGGCTACTAGAGGTGCTTCTTGAGTCAGTATGTTCAGCATCTTCACGCTCTGCATGGAGAGGCTGAACTTTCCCCATGCTTCTCTATGAGAAGATACTGGTTTGCCAAGGTGACATTTGGCTCAGCCCCTTGGCTTAGGTAATCAGAATTGACTATCTCAACCAATCCAATGCTTTCCTATGAGAAAGCATTGTTATTGGCAGAGATAATCAATTCTGATGATGTCAGCCAAGTAGGCGGGTTATGGTCGGAGCCTGCACAGTGCTGTAAATAAGGCGAGTTTTTACTATATTTAAGGAGATAAAAGGGGGAGAGGGGTTTATCATGTTTTTAACATTATAGGGTCAGGAATATATGTTTTTGTTCCTTACCCTACAGTGTTCTTTTAGACCAGGGGTTCTCAACCCAGTCCTCGAGACCCCCTACCAGTCCAGGATTTGGGGATTACCTGGGTGTGTCTATGGTGTTTAGAAAAAGGGAAAAAAAAACACCTGTTTTTTTTTTCTTTTTCTAAACACCTTAGACACACCCAGGTAATTCCTAAACCCTGGACTGGTAGGGGGTCCTGAGGACTAACGTTGAGAACCCCTGTTTTAGACCAATATACGTAGTGCTACTTTTTGCTGGTAAAATTATGAACCTCTGAGAAACTTCCTTCCATGCTCCTGTGGGAACAAGAGTTTGGTTTGCAGTTTACTCTTTAAAGGAGCACAAACTTGTTTTCCTAGCACTGTAGGGTTATTAGGTCCCCCCCACCCGCTGGGTTGTAGAGGTTAAAATCCCTGCAGCCACCTACCTTAAATCAGCGCCGGGCTCCCTCGGCACTGGTGACCTCTCCTCCCCCTACCAACGTCAGCTCTGAATGTGCATTCAAACCGCCCATAGGAAAGCATTACTCAATGCTTTCCTATGGACATCCAGCGTCATTTCAGTGTGTCTCCCTGACAGCCACTAGAGGCTGGAATAACCCTCAATGTAAACATAGCAGTTTTCATGGGCGTCCGCAGGAATTTTTCAGGGGGGGGGGCATAATTGTAATGACATCCATGCTTGGTCCCTTTTTAACAGTATCATTAAAGGGAAGGGACATGGTCATTATCACATAAAGCCAGGGTGAATAGCGTTTTCACAACTATGGTGTCAGGAATACATGTTTGTATTCCTGACACTATAGTGTTATTTTAAGCAAATTAAAGGAACATTCTGGTCACCATAACAACTTCATCTAAATGAAAATGCTATGATGCCAGGAAGACCCTGGGTGCTCTCTTTACTTTAAGGGGTTAAACCGCTCTCAAATGGTTTAACCCCAAAGGCTTACTCCAGCTCCAGATCGGTCAGTGGTATTCGGCTTCTGAAACGGAGTGTCAGGAAGTTCAGACTGACGTCAGGCATGGGTGCTGCAGATTGGCTAGAGTGGTCAATTGACGCTCTAAGCCAATCGCTAATTCACAGTTCATAATTTGTTTTTGCTTTTATTATGAATGGGGAGCTATTGATTGGCTTAGAGTGCCAGCTGACCGCTCTAGCCAATCAGTGACACACCTACCCAGCAGCACTCTGTGCTTCCTGACAATCAGTAAATAAAAGTGAACACATTAACACTGATATATTTTTTTTTACCTGGGGAGATGAGAAGGTCCAAAGTTTCCCTGCCAGGCCCAGATACCAAAGCCTTATGATATGGTGTCCAGAATAAAGTGGAGGGTTCACTTCACTTGTCCTTCCGGCTTCAATCTCATTTTCTTCTCCTTTATTTGACACAGTCTTCTTTTTCTTCTGACACTGTCTTCTCTCCTCCTTGGCTCCTTCTACTCATTTACATTTTTGTTACTTTCTGCTTATTGTGCTCCCCCTTCTGCTCCTTTCTCTTTTTGATTCCTTTCTGCTCCTTGCTACCCTTTTCTGCTCCTTCTCCTACTTTACCTTTGTGCTCCTTCTGATTCTTTCTGCTCCTTTACCATTTGTGCTCCTTCTGTCCCTTTTTGCTCTCTGCAGACCCTTCCTTATCCTTGAAGACCCTTCCTGCCCCTTCCTGCTAATTTTTGCTGACCCTTCCTGAACATGTATATTCCTTCTCCTACTTTATATGTGTGCTCCTTCGGTCCCTTCCTGTTCCTTGCTGCCCTTTCCAGCTCCTTGCTGACCCTTTCTGCCCCTTCCTGCTCCTTGCTGCTCATTTCTGTTCATTTGTGCTCCTTCTCCTACTTTTCCTTTTGTGTTGCCCTTTCTAACTCATTGCCGACCCTTTTTGCCCCTTCCTGCCCCTTCCTGCTTCTTGATGACCCTTCCTGCTCCTTGCTGTCCCTTCCTGCTCATTTCTGTTCCTTCTCCTTTCTACTCCTTCTGTTACGTTACCTTCCTGCTCCTTGCTGCTCTTCCTGTACGCTGCCTCCCCCCATCCCTCACTTCCATGATCTGTAGGCTCTCTCTGCCCCCCGCCTCACTTACCTGATCTATAGGCTCTCTGCCCCGCCTCATTTCCCTGATCTATAGGTTCTCTCTGTCCCCCAATGCCTCACTTCCCTGATCTATAGGCTCTCTCTGCCCCCCATGCCTCACTTCCCTTATTTATAGGCTCTCTGCCCCCCCATGCCTCACTTCCCTGATCTGTAGGCTCTCTCTGGCTGCATGTGCTGTTCCTCTGCGGATTCAGTCAGGAGAGAAGAGCAGGGATAAGATATAGCTTCCTATCCCTGTCTCTCTCCATACACAGCACCACTTACTGCAGTGTATTTTCAATCTAACACGAAAAATAGCAGAACAAGCTGAAAAATCCAGGGGGCCCCCCTCCCTGCAGACGCCCTTGGCAGTTTCTGCTATGTTTTCAGCTGCAGGGTTAAAACTAGGACGACCTGACACCCACAACACTTCATTGAGCTGAAGTGGTCTGGGTGCCTATAGTGGTCCTTTAACAAATAGCATAGGAACCTTCAGCACTCCATGTGTTTTGAACTACACCTTCCATGATGCTTTGTCAGTATTATGGGTGTAAGAGCATTATGGAGGATGTAGTCCACAACATCTTGACTGCCTAAGTTTGCCTATCCAATGCATAGGGCTATTTCCCAGGTATACATGGCCTCCGTGTGTCTGAACCACTGGGAAGATCATCAGAAACTGCTTTACATTGGTATTTGTGCCTAGTTCTAAAAGTTTTTCATATCATATCTCCACTTTGGTAAAGCATTTTGGGCATTTCGCATAGACCCTTGAAACAGACAGTTCCAGTGTGGGTCTGGTGGGTGCAGCCACTGCGATATTTACTATGCAGGTCTCCTCCACTATTGGTGCTTCAGCTGCCACACTTTTGTGAGAGTACAATACTGACTTCTATGGAGGATCCTGCGATATCCGTGACAAACAAATCCTGAATCCCAGCCATCATTTGTCAAAGAAGTCCCTACTATGACTTACGGTATCTTCGGATTGTAATTATATATTTTTTTGTTTGTTTTTCCCCTCTCACTTTCATTTTTATTTTCAGGAGAATAAATCGTACAAAGTCCATTATTCCCCTGCCATCCAAAACCCTTCTCATCCCACAAATAAAAACAATCCCAATACGCCTAGGGTCACTGAACAATCAGGGCATAAAACTTTATTTGGACCAAAAAATAAAAAAAAATCAGTTTGTAGACTAATTTCTCTGCCCTTTTGACTGCTTTTTGAGGAAGCATGCGGTTTCCTGCCAGGAAGGTGATTGTCTGCAAAATCGGCAAGTACTTCAGGGTCTGGAACATGTCCATTTGTGTCCAATATACGTACATCAGGCCCAACATAGCTGCGTGTCCCAGGTGAAAGATAAGGGTGCAGGGAGAAAAGTTCTGAAGGAGATATTTATACTCACTTTTATCCAAAGGACCAGCGCAGTGAAGGTTGTGGATACAACATTAGGAGGTCTTTTCTCAGGCTCTCTAAATAAATGCGGAATATCTTGCTTGGGGTTAAACAGGTTTTTGGACTGGATCAGAGTTGGACAGTCCTCTTCAGGGAACTTAATGACCAAATCAGCTATGAGTTTGTATGTTCCTATTGCAGAGTCAAACTCAGACTTCCTCTCAGATGGGTCAAGCTCTAACCTATAGATGTTCTTACTGTCTGGCTCAGCTACAAATACAACGTCCTGTCTGGTCTTCTGCTTGCGGTATGAGATTAGCCCAGTGTTCACATCTGTGAGCTGGAAGGACAAGGCAAAATTATGGTGGCTATCAGCAGTGAAGGATCCTTTAGCTTTCGAGTTGTACTCTACCCTGGAAGTCTTTGGAGGCATACTTTGGTCTTTGTCTACAATGGAGAGGTCAACATTTTCAATTCCAGCCTCTGTGGATACTGTTACATTGAGCTCCACTTGACTTGCCAGGTAGCGGCTGTCTCCCTCCACACTAATTGAAAAGTCATAATAACCATTGGCAAGTTTGGTTTCCATTAAGTTTAGTTCAAAGGAGTCTCCAGATGTAGAGAAGGCTGTCTGTTGAAGGACCGTGGCTTTGGTGCTGGATTATTTGGCATAATTGTTATTGTAATTATTATTTGGCATAATAATTTTCACTTTGGCTTCAGTAAGAGGCTGAGAGAGGACATTGGTGACCGGCAGTTGTAAGAGAGGTTGTTTATGGGATACTGCAAATCCTCTATCTCTTCCACGATCCTCCCGTCTGTCTGCTTGTGGAGACAGATGTGATGCAGTTAGCAGAGCTTTGATGGTTGCAAGCACATTTTCCTCCTTGCTGAGCCAAATGGTGAGGTCATCAACTACTACCTGGAAGGCCAATGCCTTTGTGATAGATCTGATTGTCCATGGAGTCCTCACTTACTGCTCCAAGCAAGAAGTCTCTGGTTTCATTGGAGATTGTCACCTTACAGATGGACAAAGCTTGGCTGGACTGAGCAGCATAAAACAGTTAATCCACACTACCATGATCAACATTTGAGCAGATCACATGCAGTCTGTTCATCAATCACAGTGGCACCAGGATGGTAAAAGCCTACAACATACTAGTAAGCAGATTCCAGGTCTGTTACGGGACGTTCCAAGAAATTCTTTAGCTGCTCAGGTAGTAACTGGGGAACAAGGCTAGGGTGTTGGCTAAGAGTGTGAAAACCCAGATGAAAACCAGATGTTGAACTGCTGCCATGTTGCTCCCCCTCTAAATAATAAATAACATCTTTATGAAATATTGAAAAATGACAGATCCACTTTAACAATACAATGCCTCAGATTGGACTCAACCTCCATATCTTCTGGGAATGCACAAATCTCCACCTATTTTGAGAGGTCTTTGCAAGGCAGGTGCCCTGTCCAGTTGCCTGTCTCTTAAACTTAGCTCAACTGAGCTAAACTACCAGGAAGCAACAGGACCAGTTATCTGATTGACAGCCAAGGGGGTGTAACAAAGTTAATTTATAAAAATGAAAATTCTTTGTAAATATGTGCTTTTTGCAAAATGTAAAAAAAGAGGACACACTCTTTAACACATAAAGCACATCAGCAATCTGAAGTGCTTTAGGGTTCTGGAGTGTTCCTTTAATAACTCTATCTACCATTATTTAATTATCAAGTATGGAAACATTATTCTGTGGCAGGGGTCAGGGGCGGGGGGCATGGAGGCAAAAAAACAACAAATTTTCCCCCCCATGGGCCCGCGTACAGGGCCGGCGCATCCATAAGGCAACATAGGAGGGGGGCGCAAAAATCCGAATCCCCTGGCTCTGGCTGGGGACTCTGAATTTTCAACTTACCTCTCTCCCTGCAGCATCGGCCGGCCTCTCCTGATGATGTCAGGGGGTGGGGGCGTGACTTTCACTGCTCTTTTCCCAGGTCCGCTGAGGAGTCTGGGAGAAGAGCAGAGGAAGTCATGCCCCCTCCTCCTGACAGCATCAGTAGAGGCCGGCCCAACTCCACTGACTGCTATATACTGGCTGCTACTGGATGCTGGCTGCTGCCCACCCCTCCCTGGCCTAAGGTAAGACTCAGGGAGGGGGGGGAATACACTTTAGTTTTTTTGTTTTCATCCCTTTCCTCAGCCCCTGTCCCTTTGCTCAGCCCTGTCCCCCTTCCCCTGTCCCTTTGCTCAGCCCCTGTCCCCTGTCCCCAGCCCCCATAACATCCCCTCTACAGCTCCTCTCCCCCAATTGCAACCCATATCACCCAAACCACAACCCCTTTCCCAAATTGTAGCCATCAACATACTTCAGCCTCCATCACCCCATTACAGCCCCTAGCCCCTACTACATGCCCTAAATTTTCAATTACAGCCACTACCAGTGCTATTCCTGAGATTAGGCTCTGGATCCACCCCTGCTCTGTATTCCCATATCTGTATGATTATAAGTCTGTTTCTGTATGTCTTTGTATGCCTGTGTCTGTAGGACAGTATCCGAATGTGTCTGTGTTTGTATGACATTGTACCTGTATGTGTAGATTTTATGGCTGTGTGCCTGTATTTGTTTGATTGTGTGCCTGCATATTTCTGTGACTGAGTGCCTGTATGGTTGTGTGTTGCTATATATCTATATAGCATGGAAAAAGACAAAATGTGCTGAGAGAAGAGAGACACAGAAAGGGGCTTGGAAGGGAGGAAAGAGACATGCAAAAAGAATGGGGGGAGAGACACACAAAGGGGATGGGGAAAGAAAGATACACAAGGGGGGTTATAAAAGACAAAAGGGTGTAAGACACACTAAAGGGGGGATAAAATACATTAAAAAGGGTAAGAAAATCAAAAGTGTGGTTACAAGACACACAGGTAAAGACATTTTTTTTAAGGGGTGGTGGGGGGTGGCAAAATGCGTCTTTGCCTGGATAGTCAAAAATCCTTGCACGGGGGTGACCGGGGGAGGAGGGAATGTGCTGGGGGCGCAACAGAGTGGGGTGTCCTTGTGGACGCAGCTCTCTCAGTCACTCTCTCCTTCTTGCCTTCTCTACCATTTCTGATCTATCCTTTCACTACTATGCACTGTGCATGGAGTAGACATAGACCAAATCTTATCATCATACTAGGATACTATGCCTCTGCAACTCTAGAAATGTGGACGCATATACCATACAGGTACCATGCACGACACATGCACACTTTCACAGAGATCACATAATAACGAGGCCGGTACGCTGCATCGCGACCCTGGACGGAAAACTATATTAGGAGATAGGGACTAGGAGACCGATAAAGCGCAAATCTATTCTTATCTCGCATTCCGCTCTAAAGGGCGACCTATAGTTATGCACAATGAAGACAGGCGGAGGCGAATAGTTTTGTATTATGTACGGTGCTAGTTATGAGCCGATAGCATGACCAATGAACTGCCGATGTAACTGCAAGTACTATGTTATGACCAGGTTGGACCTGCGCGTCCACTAAGTTGCAAATGTTTGTACCTATCACTAATTGATGATCAGTTCCGCGAATTGCACAAAATTCTCAATAAAAAGATTTATAAAAAAAATAAAAAAAAATCCTTGCACCGGCCTGTATGTTTGTATGTGTGTCAGTATGTCTGTGTGTGTGCCAGTATGTCTGTCTGTATGTGTTTGTTAGTGTGTGTTAAAACCAGCAAGTGTGTGTGTGCCTGTCACTGCGTGTGTCCCTTTCAATCACATGAGAAAGGTGTTTTTACTCTTCTCTTGGTGCAATGGGCCACTTGACTGGATTTGCCCCCCAGGCCTAAGGCTGCCAGCCCTACCCTGGCAGGGGAGCCAAAAAGATAGATCCCCAAATGTTTTAAAACTACAGCTTCCATGATGCCTTGTTATACAAAGCTTTGTGGGAGTTGTAATTCTACAACATGTGGGGATCTACCTTTTGGGCACCCCTGTTCTTTTGGTTAGCTCCTCCACTCAAAGCAGAAAGGACAGGAAACAGAACTCTACAATTGGTATACATAGATCCATCTTATAAGGAGATAGCTTCTAAACAAATTTTATATTTTTTTCAATATTTAGACCAATTGGAGGTTAGTTAGATTAAAGTATACACCTTCCCAATCAACCTAGGTCTTTTGCAAGGTATTTAGTGGCACATGTAATTGCCATGTGACAAGCATACTTTCTTCTGACATTAAGTTGCCTATGTTTCCATTTCTACTTTGTGTTCATTTTTGTCACAATTATTATATCACGGTTTCATAGAAATGCAATATCAGCTCTTACACTTGATGCATTTCATAGGTAAGTTATATATATATATATATATATATATATATATATATCCATGGCTTATCTTTAATAAGCCATATACTTTAATAAATATTAAACACCAAAAGTGGAAGGTGAGGTGGGGGGTTGTTATAGCCAGAGCTTAAAAGGTTTTGCTGTAAAACCACAATCCACTCCTTATATTTGTCCTGATACGACTGAAATTCTGGACATAAGGCATTTTAACAATCAGGACTATGGTAATATATTGTTGCACTAGCGGTTTACAAATTGTTATGGGCAAAACTGATTTGTATTTCTTAAAATATTCACATTTAGGGGGTGGGGCCTGAGCTGCATGGCGGCTGGACGTGTCTGGTGAAAGCTCCCGGCCTGATCCCACGATTAAGCTGTTCCACCAACTCCCAAGCCTACCTTGGTAGCCTACAGAGAAACCTGGGGGTACCTTTTGTGGACTTCGCTCTGCACGTTTCAGGGGGTTTCCAGCGTGGTCTAGTGCAGTGAACGGGCGGGAGATGCGGCCGATCTCCCATCCCGCACAAGCTTTGCCCTTGAGGCGATACCCAGCTGTCCCCCCCCCCTCAGACCGGTGGGGGTTATCCCGGTCGCCACTAGACCAGACAAGCCTAATAGCTACCTAAACGCTGACTGCCTCACCTCAGTTTGATCCGGAGACTGGGCTACTCAAAATGGCTATCGTATACAAGCATGAGCTCCAGAGCCAGACACCACGCGGCCTTGACTCTGCAAGCATACTTTCCAGATTTGATGCCATATGCAGGCACTTCTGGGCCAAGCTGGAAGAGCGCTCAGGCCGGACACAATCACAACCTGAAGCCGACGAACGTGGTAAGAAGCATGGGGCAAAGGGGCTCCAGAAACCTATAAGGGGCATATCAATACCTAAACACCCAACACCCGCCCAGTTGTGCCTACCAGGGCTGAGAGGCCAACGCAGGTTGCTCCCAGCATGCCGTCCTCGCCGGCAGAGAGCCGCTCTACAGAGGAGACAGGTTAAACGCTCATATGCTGCCAGAAAGGTCACACGGTCCAGGCATGAGACATGAGCAAGCAGGCTTTCAGCATGGAGAGCCCTCGAGCCCAAGAAGTCAAGTTTACAGCTCCTGAGCAAGCCTGGGTCGAGAAGGAGCGGGACAAACGAGTAGCCAGACGAAAACCACAGCTTTATCTGCCACAGAGACGCACCCAGGTGAAATCGGGATCCTCCAGGGACGGTAAGGCTCTGCCGAGCCGAGGCATTGGCTGACAGTGCCATGTGCCCTCGAGCGAGGTACCCGTGTCCCCCTCTGACTTACACCCATATCCAGCTTGCCGGTACTGGAAGAGGCAATATTGACATACATAAGTTAATTTTATGCTTGGTCGAATTTCAGCAGATTGCACTTACTCATCTATTTAGTTCCCCTCAGTGACCTAACCAGAGCTAACTTAATGATTAATCTTTATTGAGTTTTAGCTAGTTCACATATATCAGAACTTCGTACAAGTTACTCACTACAAGCTTACTTCGATATGGGTACCTACAGTATGAGTCATTACTAGACTAGATATGTTCTAACTAAACTTGCTAACATGTTTCAGAGCAACTACCTAACCCTACTATGAAAATAATGTTGTTGTCCTAGCTTGAAAATAACCCACTCAACAT